GGTACAAGTGGCGGAGTGCAGAGTGCAAGAAGATGGTCACTGTGACCTACGCTTTGACCTTTGACCTTAACTTTGGAAAATAAATGTTGTCCGGGGCATATCTTCTGTACTATTTCACCTGGAGTAACCAGATTTGGTGTACGAGGACATCTTGGGATGGAGGAGTGAAGAGTGCAGAGTGCAAGAACTATGTCACTGTGACCTATTGCCATAATATGAAATGTTTTATTCAGTTGTCACGGAATAAGAAACAAGGCATCACCAGTGATACGAATCCCTCTCACTCACACATTTTGACATAATGTAAGAGAAATGAAGTCGCTAGAGAAATGAAAAAGTTTTTCTGAAAATAGTAACAGTGACCTTGACCTTCAACATAGAAACCCGAAACAAGAAATTGTTCAAGGCATTGCCATACAAAACACTTGCATGAAATTCCATTGAGGTTTCCATGAAGTGGATAGAGCGATGACAAAGTTTTAAGTAAAAACAAAAGTAAAAGTGACCTTGACCTTTAACGCAGTAACCCGAAATGTGACCTTGTTCAAGGTATTGTCAAACCAAACTCTTGTATCAATTTCATGAAATTCTGTTGCGGAATGAAGTCGATAGAGCGAAGACAAAGTTTTTCTAAAAATAGTAACAGAGGCCTTAAACTTGAATATAGGAACCCAAACTCGAATTTGTTCAAGGCATTGCCATTATCAAACACTTATATTAAGTTTCATGAAATTCTGCTCAGAAATGAAGTTGCTAGAGCGATGACAAAGAGTTAACGTACGTACGTAGGGGCAAAATCCTATATCCCCTCGAACTTTCATTACATGGGATAATTAGGCATCAGCACAGAGTCGAAGTTTGATCAGGAGAATTACTTGGAGAATATGGGCCAAGAACCTAAACATAAAACACTCTGTCACTTATTTCCAATCAAACTGTTACATTGGATGATGTGTGTGTAGTCTACATGCATGTATCACCCTTTTGATATATTGGAAATTTAAAAAAATTCATTTAAAAACTACAAGTAAATAAACATTTCTGTCACGATACCAGGTAGAAAACACATATAAACAAAAAAAGATGAAGTCCAAATCAGTTTTTACAAAAATATTTTATTTGATATTTACATCGTTATAGAATAAAAAAATTGCCATTTAATAATGACAGAAAACCCAGTGGGTTGAACATTCCCTGATATTCTGAGGACTAGGAGAGATGTCTGACTAGAGGCTTTATGATGTCCGAAACAAAGATGGTTCAGTGACAAAAGCTTGACCACTAATGGTATTTATAACTAGGACAAAAAGGAATTACACCATTAAAACAAGTAAAACGTACTTATGCCAAACATATATGTACTAGGGGTGGGTAATTCAAGCAATTTCCATATTGCAAAAATTTGGGAAAATTGCAATATAACGTACTGTAAACCTAAAAATTCATGTATTTTATACGGATTTTATTTAGAAAATAAAAGAATGAGCCCAAGATCAGCAAGCTCCAATTACAAGTTGAAAACGAATTTATATACTTTTTAAGGTTATCATACAATCCAGTGTAATTTTAAGGTTATCATACCAATCCAGTGTAATTTTAAGGTTATCATACAATCCAGTGTATTTTAAGGTTATCATACAATCCAGTGTAACTTTTAAGGTTATCATACAATCCAGTGTAATTTGGACAACTACTGATCCAATGTTAACAGTAAGCCTTGGACATTGCAGTATTACAGGACAGTACTGAACTCCAAAGCAATGGGTTGAACAATTATTGCATTACAATACCATTTAAAAGTTATATTGTAATAAACATTATTGTCCACCTCTTACAAGTACTAGATACAAAATCTGATTTCTGTTAAGTTACCATAAACCTCATGATCAGTATACCTAGTCTATTAGGCAAAATAAATGAATAAAATATGTATGTTTCAGGGAACCCAACCCACCTTAGTTTTTACCTCCGACCATAACAATTTTATATTGTATATCAAGACATCCCTACCGACCTATCCAATTTTTTCAGTCCTGTTACCTGAAACATACATGTAAATATTGTTTTTGTCTTTAGCACCTTAAATCATACTTATCTCCCCTTGGGGAGATCTCCTGTCCACAAACAAGAAGTTATCATGAACAATCCCATATATTTGTAATTTACAATTATATCTAATACTAAATACTTGAACAGCTCTTAACCCTATAATAATTAATTTTCTGAATTGTGAATAATATAAACAATATTCTGGTTAACTTACACTTTCTAGTATGTACTTGAGCTGTGGACTTTACATGTATATTGTAAAATGGACTGATTTAACACATTCACCCCTGAAGATACATTTGAACTCTTCCTACTGATTCCTAAAAATGGCAAGACTGACAAAATTAATCTTGTTCTGGTCCATCGTAATACTGTCAATTTCACAATTCGTGGACAACACTTTTCTGCTCTGCTCGAAAATAACAAACTCACCAAATCACCCGTGTATACAGTCATGTAAAAGATACAAATATTACTGTAGAGTCACTGATAAATACATCGCCTGCTTAAACACTAAATCTGATATAGAATATATGTAGTCCCTCCTCTTGTCATTCACAAATACATTTCCATTATAAATAAATACATAAAGAAGAAATTAGCACTTTTTCATCATACGTATAAATAGACGATTCATTCAAATATCAAGTTGATTCTCAGTAATATGTGTACAAAGATGACTTGATCCTTCAAGGAAGAACAAATGAGATCAGACATAAAACATGTAGGTCTTCCATTTCTTCAATCAGTCTTTGAATTGAATTCAAATTAAATTACATACAAAGTTTACATACAAAGTTTCTGAAATCACATCAAATAAGTTCTATAAAACCTATCCGAAAAGAAAAAACAACCTTATTAATATTTTAAATTTTACATAAAAGAAATATTTCAAGACTTCATATTAATATTAACACATGAAACAGAAGGTTAGACATACTCTAAATTTCAGGTTAAAATAAAATTTATTTAGAAAACGAGTTCTATTCTTAAATACATTCCTTGATTTTTAACAGGATGAGACACATTTTAATAGAGGAAAATTACAATTATATGCCTGTAACTTTGTTCAAAACTGCAATTAAGATTTTTTTCCAATCAATATGGATACTGCAGGATAAGTACTTCTTCGACTTCCAGATGGATTAGGTAGGTTTGCTAAACTGTAGTAGCAATAAAGAAAAGTTAATAAAAATGTACCAGTTTTAGGAATACATCAAAATGTATATTTGATTCAATCAAAACAGATACCTGGATAATATAGGATTCCATTTGAACAGGTAACAAAGGATCTAACAGAACTATGAAAATGTGGAAATTGACAGATCAACTTACAAGTATATGTCTTTTTATTATTCTGAACAATAATTGTGCAATCAAAAGTACTGTGAATCCACTTTTGGCGAAGATAAAAAACGGAAGACAGATAAACAGATGAGACATGAAATGAGACAGAAATGATGCGACAGTGAAGGGACTTGAGCAAGTCTAATCGTCAGCCTTTAAAGTTGTCCTTGGCTGATCTGAGGAAGCCCATGGTTTTGACTGGATCTGAGGTACCAGTAAAATCCAGCACCCCAGCTTGCCTATACAACAGAAGAAAAGAAAAACAGGTGACCTACAGAATGTTGTTATATAATTATTTTTTTATCACATAATGTACTCTGTTATCCAATGAATATTAACCCATGTAATATGACCTATCAGCCCTGTGATTGGTTGTAAGTTTCAATTGTGATGTCATGCCTAGGACAAGTACAGGTGGTCACAGACTTACGCACTTGAGTGAAAATGGCGGCTTTTTACGTTTCAAATAGGAAAATTGTCGTTTTACACAAATAAATGCCACAAATCTTGAGTATGTGATAAAAAGGATCTTACACTCATTTTCATTTCATATGAAATTTATGAAACTTGTCACAAATTTTTCATTTTAGCTCGCCAGAGGCTTGCAAAATTGAAAAATTCTGAGACTCGTTTCATTAATCTCATATGAAATGGAAACTCATGTAAGATCCTTTTTATCAGTTACACTGGTACCAATAGGAACTACCTACATCAGAGCTTGAGTTTCTATGCACTCCCTTGCCAGTTTTAAAACAACAATCTTTCCCTGAGGTTGAGATTTTCTTGTATTATCCCAAGGAGCTTTGTCAAATCATGCAATTCTGATAATATAGGGTCAGTGGATTATCGACATGACAACATACAATTGTCGTGATGACTGGGGAATTCCCCCCTCTTAACCAACAGACAAGGACGTAACACACCGAGAAAGTCAGGATACACCGCTCCAGGGCAGGAGAAGTACGGAGTCTATCATATTACTGTACATCTTGTATATTTCACCTGTAAAATTTAGGTCAAATCCAAGGCTATGCCTATAGGGTCTGATATGAAATTCTGCATTAGAGGGAGAAATATCCATTTCTCTTACCCTGGACAAGTGTGTCATCCACACTATTACCGGTGTGAGATTAATAGAATCTTTCACCCCATTGGGAGCGAGATAGAGGTATCTCAACCCGAGGGGGAAGATTCTTATGTTGCCAAACATGAGGCTTTGCCGAGTGTTTGGCAACTTACGAATCTTTCCCCGAGGGTTGAGATTCCCCTATCTCACCATTAAGGGGGTGAATGATTCCTTTTCTCTTACCCTGTTCACCCATTATGTATCATATACACAATGTAATGATAACATTACATGCTAAATTCAGGGTTGTCGTGACATTGATAGATTGTTGAAGTGACGTCATACCAGTGTTATGAATAAGGGAATCCCCCGTCTCAACCCTAGGGTAAGACAAGGAAACTTCATACCGGTAAAAGTGTGGATATACCTGTCCAGGGTAAGACAAGGAAATCTCACACCGGTAAAAGTGCGGATACACCTGTCCAGGGTAAGAGAAATCCTTGTCTTGCCCTAGGGTTGAGACGGGGGAATTCCCCTATTTATAACAATGGTATGACGTCATGTCAACAATAACGATGACGTCACGTCAACAATGCATCAACATCATGCCAACCCTGAATTTAGCCTGTAACGTTAACATTACATTAGTATATGATACATAATGGGTGAACAGGGTAAGAGAAAAGGAATCATTCACCCCCTTGAAGGTGAGATAGGGAATCTCAAAACTCAGGGAAAGATTCCTATGTTGCTAAACAAACACTCTGCATAGCCTCGTGTTTGGCGACTTAAGAATCTTCCCCCTCAAGTTTTCCCTATCTCACCATCAAGACGTTGAGAGATTCTATTAATCCCATATATGATTCTTTTTGACAATGCCAACACAACACTAAATATAACGAAATTTCTAGATAACATATACACAAACAATGGTCGTAATCTGAAAAGAGCAGAAAAAAGCATGCTATACCTCAAATTTTAAGAATAAGTCCATGCCAGATTTCACGGCAAGCTTGTAAAACAATCCATGCCAGACCTTCACGGCAGGCTTGTAAAACAATCCATGCCAGATTTCATGGCAAGCTTGTAAAACAATCCATGCCAGACCTTCACGACAAGCTTGTAAAACAATCCATACCAGACCTTCAAGGCAAGCTTGTAAAACAATCCATGCCAGACCTTCACGGCAAGCTTGTAAAACAATTCTGATGTTCTTCAGCTGGTGTCACTTTACAATGACAAGATGGCCATGGTCAGTTAATTGACATTGGGCATGTTTGAATTTGGGGTGTTATAATAAAATGCCATCATCTGATTGTAACGTCATAATACTACAGATCACTGAGTCCTACATGTCACACTCTGATAAGACTCTGTATCACACATACAGGAATCGACTATTTCTACAAATTACTCAATGTTTCATTACGTACTTGACTCTCATGAAAGGGTTGTATTTCATTTCTTCCTCGATCGTGGAGGGGATTGTCGGCTGGTCCTTATTCCTCTGTGCCTAAAATAATAGCATTTCATCATTTTGTTGTTACAAGGATTAAATAACGGAAAGAAGAAAAGACATTCAGGGAATGACATGATTCGTGAACCAATAATCTTTCTATCACATTTTAAATGAGACACCTATTCCAAGGTCATCCTATTCATTTTTACATTCTCCACATAATCACTAAATACTTTTATTTCAAAAGTCTGTGAATTTAATTCAATCGTACTTTGGTGTATTCAAGATTATATTTTCTATGTTGATGGTCTAATTTTGATATTTTTGCTGACTGTGAAGGCCAGAATCTGAATTTGCCTTGCCAATGGCCGTTTCGTATGTTACCTTGATCTTTGACCTACCCGTACTCAGACCAGCTTGACCTTGACCTTGACCTTGACCTTTCCTTGACTTACCTTTGCACACACCATTATTCGTTTGTAACCTTTCAACTTTGACCTACCCGTGCTCAGACCAGCTTGACCTAGACCTTTCCACCTGGACTTGCCTATACCAAGGCCATTTTTTCGTCTGTAACCTTTCAACTTTGACCTACCTGTGCCCAGGCCATCTTTTTGAGGGTGTCCTGGTTCGTTGGCTCCACATGGAGGGCAAACTTGAGGTTTTGTATAGAGTATTCATGGCCACAGTACACTTTCTGTGGGGCCAAATAGAATATGTAATCTTATTAATGGTGTTGTACATTCAGAAAACATTATCAGTTATTTTCCTCATAATATCATATAATCATTTCAGACAATGCTTATCTTTATCACACCGACAGGGCACTGTGAACAATGCTTATCTTTATCACACTGACAGGGCACTGTGACCAATGCTTATCTTTATCACACTGACTGACAAGGCACTGTACGTGAACAATGCTTATCTTTATCACACTGACAGGGCACTGTGAACAATGCTTATCTTTATCACACTGACTGACAGGGCACTGTGAACAATGCTTATCTTAATCACACTGACAGGGCACTGTGAACAATGCTTATCTTTATCACACCGACAGGGCACTGTGAACAATGCTTTTCTTTATCACACAAACAGGGGACTGTGAACAATGCTTATCTTTATCACACCGAAAGGGCACTGTGAACAATGCTTACCTTTATCACACCGACAGGGCACTGTGAACAATGCTTATCTTTATCACACTGACAGGGCACTGTGACCAATGCTTATCTTTATCACACCGACCGGGCACTGTGAACAATGCTTTTCTTTATCACACACACAGGGGACTGTGAACAATGCTTATCCTTATCACACCGAAAGGGCACTGTGAACAATGCTTTTCTTTATCACACACACAGGGGACTGTGAACAATGCTTATCTTTATCAAACCGAAAGGGCACTGTGAACAATGCTTATCTTTATCACACTGACAGGGCACTGTGAACATTTTTGAGCTTGGACTTAGAAATTGTTGTCCAGTATATTAAAGTTCTCCGAAGAAAGCTAGGATATCTTCCTTCAAAGAAATTTGATTTCAATTAGTATCTTCCCTACATCGGAGACATCCAAACTACAATATATACTGAAATTCACTATAATTTTCTGGTAAAAAAAATCGTAAAAGTTGAAAAATATCTGAAGCATCAGATTATTTTCATAAAATTATTGTCTAGCTAGTTCTCTAGCTACCTGGCCTCCAATGACAATCATAAAATCCATGTGACGTGAAATTTGAGGAAACTTAAAACAGATATTTAGCTTATCTGTGGCATTTGATCGCAAAAAGTTTCACACGTTTTCCCTAATCAGGGGTTTTGCCAGCTGTTTTGGGAAAGGGCCCCTGAGCAGGAACTGGAAAAATTATCAACCTTGATTTTGTTTATTCAGTTCAAATTTTTATTGATGTATTATTTTGAATGCTTCTTCATGGCTGGTAATTCTTTGAATGTTGCACATGTAATGACTCGATCAAAACTTGTATAAACATACTTTTTAATCCAATTGGGAAAATGCAGGGTAATTTATCAAAAGGGAATGGGTCCCTTTACCGGGCCCTATAAACGCCTGGCAAAACCCCTGCTAATAGAACAGTTTCTATCTTTATTGGACCAGGTTAATACATAATAATTACAGTTTGAGCAGGTAGATTTGCCAGGGTATCGATGAGTGCTTTCTTCATCTGGTCTGGTGTGCCCTCAAAGAACCGACCACAGCCCGCCACAAAAAGGGTGTCGCCTGATAACAAATTACAAACTGATGATAGATTACTTAACAACATACATTTCATTCAATTATAGATATTATTCCTTTACTTTAGAATCCAGTCTTCTTACTCTTTAATACTTCAGATAATGCCTTTTTTTCAATTATTGTTACTAACAAAAGATTTGATCCTATTGTATCATGTCTTCCATTGGTTATCTTTGAAACTGGAAATGGGATCAAAGAGAAAAAAGATCCTAAGAAACACTGTCACTATAAAGGGTTAGGGTTAGGGTTACAGAGGGCATCTGTTTTTCCTAGATTTTACCTTTACCTAATCAATGTTTTTGCCAGTGAATCTCATTGTTTTTACCTAACATTGATTAGGTACTGTTAAGGTAAAATCTAGGAAAAACAGATGCCCTCTGTAACCCTAACCCTTTATAGTGACAGTGTTTATATGATTCTGATCGATTTTACCTGTAAGTATTAATTTTAAGTTTGAGTCTGATTGTTTTTACCTGTGATTCTGATTGTTTTTACCTGCGAGTATGATCTTTTTTACCTGCGAGTATGATTGTTTTTACCTGTGAGTCTGATCGTTTTTACCTGCGAGTCTGATCGTTTTTACCTGTGAGTCTGATTGTTTTTACCTGTGAAGACAGCTGGGTCCTCGCCCTTGTCCCCAGTGACAAAATAACATATGTGACCAGTTGTGTGACAAGGCGTAAACAAACATCGCACATTTAACTTGCCAACCTGAAACACAGATACAGCTGAATGTACACAACCGTGCTGAAGTTGTCGTTAAGTAATTACTGGGACATATCTACATTTTGTATTTAAACAAGAGGCCCAGAGGGCCTGTATCGCTCACCTGTTTCTTTGGTTACATGAAACTGACATATAGGTAACTTCAGACCAAATGTGGTAACTAGAACACAAGGTTATAGCACTTCATCCCAGGTACAGTTTGACCGAATAACATGACCCTAGGTTGTTTAGTTTTTCAGGAGAAGTCGTTGAAAAGAAAAAGTTGACGGACAGATGACGGACAACAGATGCCGCAGTACGGCATAAGCTTACATGGCCCTTTGGGCCAGGTGAGCTAAAAAAAATCTTAAACAAATGTTGAGTCTTTAAAAAAAACCACAAGCATGATCTGACCTCTCACCTTGTAATGACATTGACCCTGTCTGTACGGACATGAAGCAATGTGAATTTTTACCACAAACTGTCAACCCAATGAACCCATTAATAACACAAACTGTCAACTCAATGAACCCATTAATACCACAAACTGTCAACCCATTAATACCACAAACTGTCAACCCAATGAACCAATTAATAATCATTTCAGAATTTATTGATCTGACATCCATCAGGATGACTTGCCTTTGATTTGTTCATCTTTCAGATACAGACCAGATGATGTGACAACATCTAATCAACAGGTTCAGCTGTCCAGAAACTTATTTGACCCTCGACGACCTTGACCTTTGAGCTATTGGTACAAAAAAAATCCATTTCTAGTCATAATGCATTGAGTAGAATTGTCATAAAAGGCCTTCCAAAGGTACGGATTCAAAAACCATTAAAAAATTTGAGCTTCAACCTCTTGTAGTAACCTTCACTTTAAGGTCACAGACCAGATACCTAGTTCTGGTCCATCCACGTTTTGACTTTCACCAAAAAAAAAAAAGAAAAACGCAAAGACTTTGCGAAGTATTAAGCAATCACATATATTGTGACATTCATATTTTTTGTTCATACACCAAGCTAGTCAGGTGCTAGGTCTTTTGTTCACTTAAACAGGTGGAAAGGGAAGTAACTCCTGCCTCACATCCTCATCAGTGACGAAGCTGACAGGCAGATTGACAAAACTGTTTACTACACTAAAAAGTTACAAGAAGACACTGTCATCGATATCCCTTGCTCAAAGTGTACAGGTCAATATAAAAACAACTCAATGTTGGTCACCAAGTCACTGAAGTGTAAAATGTAGGTCGAATTCAGTACCGCAAAATTCAATCAGTAGAGCCACCCCAGATACCACGATCATGATCGAAGGTGTAGCAGTTGTAGTAAGGTATTCATGGACGAGACCAATTTTTCTTTACCAATTCACTGAAGTGTTAAATGTAGGTCAAAGTCAGCATCCGCAACAAGCTTTCAGTAGAGCCACCAAAGGGACATCAAAGAGTATCGGACGGACCCCATTTCTATATTACTATTTCTCCCTCCCTTCACAGGTGTGTCTCCCGTTTTAGCTAGAAGAGATCAGCTTGTCACCTCCTAGGGGGAGATTTAATAGAATCACATAGGTTTGTTCCGTGGACAGGGATATCTCATCTGGAGTGTAAAAGTTTGGCTGGTCAGCACAAGGCAAGACCCATGTTTGATTTTTTCTCTCATATACATACAAATAAACCAATTCCAGTCGGATAAACATCAATCTTATTCTTCTGGCAAACCCCAAAGCCTTAGGGTTGAGACGGATGATTCCCCATTCACAACAATGGTATGACATCAAGGAAACAACAAAATGACGTCACGTCGAGAATCCATTATTATGACGCCAAAGTGTGTGTCAGCTGTCTTTCCCTACCCCCTGTAAGATAGAGTTGTCTTTTCCCTAGCAACAACAGGATCACCCTGTGAAGTATGTGAGAAAGCCTTGTGCTGATTAGCATATGTTTAATTGTGACGTCATCAAAACGCGTCACCGGTAATTGTGACGTCATCAAAAGTGAATGATGATATTCATACCCAACATGTGTTTTTGTTTACAAACATGGCAGATTATTGTCTGTGGAGTTGTGACTTAAATAATAGGATGGGAGAAAAACAATCATCCCCTACCTTGAGGGTGTAACAAAGAAATCTCCTACTCTTGGGGTGATTTTTGTTGGTTGTCAAACCCTTGGCAGAGCCTCAACCAAAAAACATCACCCCTAGGATAGGGGATTTCTCTGTCACACCCTTAACCCTTTCACCCCTAAGTAACTTTAGTAAACTCGACCATGCATTCATAGGGATGAGTCCATTATGGTCTACGGTGGTGAAAGGGTTAAGGTATAGGGGATGATTCTATTAATCTCTCACCAACTTGTTTGAACAGGGGATCATTAGATATCTATACATTGATCTGTTTACATGATTTTAGGTGTACCCACTGACCTTGAACTCATCGTTGTGTGCCACTTTCCTGGTCAGGGAATCGATGCGGTCATCTCCTCCCAGAACGGTCAGTTTGAGGTCTCTGGCCATTTCCACAAGTTCTTTGTTTCCACCGGCATGATCCCTGCAAAGGAAACAACAAACTAGATATAGCTTCATTACAGAAAGATCTGTGATTCATTTTCTGTTGTACATCTTTACAACACTTAGGGTTAAATGATGACCAGTTTACATACAAAGGGGTCACTCAAGTACCTGCACACCGAAACATAATAACCTTGACGCAGAGAAGCTTGACAACTCAACATTTTTATCATACACATACTCACAAAGGACAAACCTGTGGTACTTCAGAAAAAGAAAGAAAAAAGCGGCTAAGAAAATAGTCCAATTTATCCAATGGGGAGCAATAAATCAATTTACCATGTAGCTCTTTACAGTATCCAACTATCCATAAGACCACAGAATACGACACAACACTCTCCTGAAGGTGCCACATTCATACCATAAACAGAATATTGAAGTCATTTAACAAAAAAAGTGTTGATTTAAAATAAGCTTTTAGCATTGTTACATCATAATTCAATGGCAATAGGAATTCCTTCACACTTTCCTGAGAAATCGTCCTAACTAGATCACTGACAGGTGAGCACGGGCCCTGTCATTTGTCTAACTGTAATCCTGTAGTCTATATCTATAAATGTTGACCTTGGGCTTGGCTTTTGAAACTTTTACTGCACTTTTACATATCAAAGTGCATTAGATCACCATGTCATATTTAGAAAAGATTAGTTGTTTCGATTTTGAGATAAGGACCATATCCCCCCCAGTCTATTTTTAGTAACAGTGACCTTGATGTTAGAAACTTTTATTGCGAATCTTCATATTGGAGTGTATCACCATGTCAAATTCCAGAATAATTAGTATTTTTGATTCCGAAATATCTCCGGAAATAAAAATGTGGCTGGACGGACAAATAGACAGATGGACAGACGGACACAGTGATTACAACAGGACAGCCGCATCTCTTATGCAGGGCCCTAATAGCAGTGTCATCTTATATATAAACAATCTACAGACAAAACCCTGACAGCAATTCATTATGGAGACTTTCCCAACTGTATAATGATATCCCTTGACTACAGTTGCTGTATAATGATGTACCGCGACTACAGTTGCTGTATAATGATGTCCTGTGACTACAGTTGCTGTAAAATAATGTCCTGTGACTACAGTTGCTGTATAATGATATCCCGTGACTACAGTTGCTGTATGATGATATCCTGTGACTACAGTTGCTGTATAATGATGTACCGCGACTACATGTGCTGTATAATGATGTCCTGTGACTACAGTTGCTGTATAATGATGTACCGCGACTACAGTTGCTGTATAATGATGTCCTGTGACTACAGTTGCTGTATAATGATGTACTGTGACTACAGTTGCTGTATAATGATGTACCGTGACTACATGTGCTGTATAATGATGTCCCGTGACTACAGTTGCTGTATAATGATGTCCTGTGACTACAGTTGCTGTATAATGATGTACCGTGACTACATGTGCTGTATAATGATGTACCGCGACTACAGTTGCTGTATAATGATGTCCTGTGACTACAGTTGCTGTATAATGATGTACCGTGACTACATGTGCTGTATCATGATGTCCCATGACTACAGTTGGTGTATAATGATGTCCTGTGACTACAGTTGCTGTATAATGATGTACCGTGACTACAGTTGCTGTATAATGATGTACCGTGACTACATGTGCTGTATAATGATGTCCCGTGACTACAGTTGCTGTATAATGATGTCCTGTGACTACAGTTGCTGTATAATGATGTACCGTGACTACATGTGCTGTATCATGATGTCCCATGACTACAGTTGCTGTATAATGATGTCCTGTGACTACAGTTGCTGTATAATGATGTACCGTGACTACAGTTGCTGTATAATGATGTACCGTGACTACATGTGCTGTATAATGATGTCCCATGACTACAGTTGGTGTATAATGATGTCCTGTGACTACAGTTGCTGTATAATGATGTACCGTGACTACATGTGCTGTATAATGATGTCCCGTGACTACAGTTGGTGTATAATGATGTACCGCGACTACATGTGCTGTATAATGATGTCCCGTGACTACAGTTGCTGTATAATGATGTCCTGTGACTACAGTTGCTGTATAATGATGTACCGTGACTACAGTTGGTGTATAATGATGTACCGCGACTAAATGTGCTGTATAATGATGTCCCGTGACTACAGTTGGTGTATAATGATGTCCCATGACTACAGTTGCTGTGAACATGTCAAGCACTTAAACTATTACTCATAAATATGACATTTATCTTCGATTGTGAGTATCCAGGCTAACTTTGACCACTACAAACTAATAATGTCATTAATATCTCAGTAAATATTTTTCCAAATATCATTATTATCTCAGTAACATTTTTTTCTAGAAAAATCACTTAGTGAAATTTAAAGCACATGAATGTTTTACAGTATAGGGTGATACCTACAAGTGGTGATGTGTGGTGATGACCGTGGTCAGCTTGACACCCTCTTTCTTCACGGCACTGAGAACCTGGTGGTCAAATGTAAAAACATGTTTGTAGGTACAAAGAATCTTTTTGTTGAATTTATAAAATTACTCAGTCTCTGGAGGTATTAACAAACTGTGGTTGAAGAATAGATAACAGTACGGGTTAATTCAGGAAAAGAAAGTTAGTAACTTTTTTTGAAAAAGGGGAAATTACGCGTTGTAGGTGCATGACCTGTCCGGCAAAAGCTGCAGGCCGAAGCCAGGGGGAGAGTAAGAGGGGGGCATGGATGACAACTTAAATTTTTGTTCTCACTGTTCCTTATAGATTATAAAATATCACCAGTGACATTTAACATCAACTCAGGGAAAATGTAATAAATCACTCAGTTGTGGAACTGATGAGAAAAAAATGGAACCAAGATAGATATGCATGTTGTAGTCAAATATCTAATTAATTTTTTTTGACTGAAATAGGGAAAAATAAAGCTGAAATAGGGGGAAATAATGCCAAAATTAGAGAGGGGAATTGACCCATATTCGGCCATAAAAAGTCCTGTATATATCTATAAAGAGGGAAGCATTTATATCGTTTCATATATAGCTACAGCATTGACATAACATCCACACATTCAACTGCTTTAACATTCACCCAGCAATTCTAGCTCCACCAGATCATGTGACTGAATTTATCGTTCATTTAACCCCCATCTTATATTTCACATGTAATAATGATGATGTACTGTTGATAGAGTTCTTCATTCAATACCTGATCTTCATAAAACTCTCTTCCTCCCTCAACCACTCTGTGTTATTGCCAGAAGTATTCAATAAACCCAGTTCTCTTGACGTAACTTTTTATATATCAACTTAATTTGTGACAATTATGAACCGAGCTATTTCAACCTATATTAATCACTATTATTGGCCAAGATGTCAGCATGAGGGGAGCTAACTGTGGGAAGAAACCGGAGTACCCAGAGAAAGCCCAAGTGGCCGGGCAGGTGACTCCACACCTTTTGACGTCCGATCAGTGAATCGAACCCCTGCCCCCTTGGTGAAAGCTTAAGGCAACATAACTCCATATCAAACCTGCAGTCTGGCTCAACCACACCGTACTGCTGGTAGAATTTGTCAATTTACCCAGGTTTAGCTCAGCAAGGTCTGCTAACACTTCATTAAAGCCAAGGTCTGGTTTAACCAGTTTTGTTGACAGAACTTTGCATTGAACCTCAATCTCGCTCTCCTAGTTCTGTTGACATAACTTGTGTATACTTATAACACATGTATACGCTATAGATTGAATTTAAAACCTCTATTTACTTTTGAGCTAATTTAATAGCAGTGCCAGTGACATTTCTGTGGAGTTTGGCCACATGATCCTGATACATATCGAACATTGTTAATTTGTTACTTATGCTAATGTGCGTCAAACCGCAGTCCTGCGATGGTACTGCAAAGTTTCCGTATATTTACCTTTTCTGGTTCCACAGGGTCCACACAAGCACACTCTTTGGTGTCCTCATCTATCAGGAGGTACATGTAATTGTCCTTGAGTGCGGGAAGGAGTAGGACTTTCATGTCGACTTGACTAAACGTGAGCGGCTTCGAGTGATATTCAAGTGGGGCAGTACTGCTGCATTGGCGGGCTGAAATCATGTGATTCATAAACCAAGATATTACATTGTATTGTGAGATTATTAATTCATTCACCCCTGAAATTTCATAATGAACTATTCCAACCTTTGAATTGGAAGAGTTAAAATGTGTCTTCACGGGTGAATAATTTAAACCTTGTTACTAAAAAACTATTTTTTATTAAACTATTAGATTATATTTAGGCACAAGATTACCAAACCATGTGACTATTTAATTATTAAAAAATACAATCGATTCACCACATTATAAAATTAACCTGAAAACAAAATATTTAACCATATCATTAAACTGTGAGATTATCATCAAATCAACAGAAGATATACCACTAGATATTTGTTTTGCTGAAATAAAATATGTTTGATTTTTTACTGCTTTAACATGAATGCAACTTTTCTTGTCTAATATTTAACCTAAACTTGTATTAGGCTATTTTTAAATATTTGTTATAAACCTTTAGGTGTACAGGAATTGATAGCTTACCATATATTATATATCTTAATGGGATACTGACATTTGAATATAGCATGTATACCATATTCATGAGACCATAAGTCCATGCCTGGTAATAAGCCCACCCAAATATATTGCAGATCAGTAGAAAACAAATGCTATTTCATGGTCCTGTTTATATCATATAAACTTTATTTATTTTACAACAATTATGAAACAAATCATAATTATAATACAAGAGGCCCAATGGGCCTGCATCGCTCACCTGGTATAAATCTCACACTTGTAACCTTAAAAAGTGATCTAAAATAAAGCTACAGGCAAATTAAGTCATTATGTTGAACAAATTTTATAGCCTTTCATCACAGGATGCAACTTGCAAAGTATCAACATCCTGGGACCCATGGTTATTCAGAAGAGGTCGTTTAAAGATTTTAAACAAATTTGACCCCTGTGACCTTGGATATAAGTCAAAGTCATTCACTTTAACAAACATAGAAGTCCTTGATCCCAGCATGCTACTGACTAAATATCAACATCCTGAGCCTTTTGGTTATTCAGAACAAGTTGTTTAAATATTTTGGAANTTTGACCCCTGTGACCTTGAATATAGGTGAAGGTCATTCATTTGAACAAACTTTGTAGCCCTCCATCTCAGCATGCTACTGGCCAAATATCATCACCCTGTGCATTTTGGTTATTCAGAAGAAGTTGTTTAATGTTTTTCACATATTTGACCCCTGTGACCTTGAATATAGGTGAAGGTCATTTATTTGAACAAACTTGATAGCCCTTTATCCCAGCATGCTACTGGCCAAATATCATCACCCTGGGCATTTTGGTTATTCAGAAGAAGTTGTTTAAAGTTTTTTTAAGACAATTGACCCTTGTGACCTTGAATATAATTGAAGGTCATTCATTTGAACAAACTTGGTAGTCCTTCACCCAAGCATGCTACTGGCCAAATATCATCTCCCTGGGCAGTTTGGTTATCGAGAAGAAGATGTTTAAAGTTTTTAACATATTTGACCCCAGTGACCTTGAAAATGGGTGAAGGTCATTAATTTTAACAAACTTTGTAGCCCTTCATCCCAATTTGCTTCTGGCCAAATATCATCACCCTAGGCCTTTTGGTTATTAAGAAGAAGTTGTTTAAAGTAAAATATTGACGCCGGACGCCGCGCCACGGCATAAGCTCACTTGGCACTTCGTGCCAGGTGAGCTAATAACAGTTAGAAGCCCATCTGCCTATTTTGGTCACAGATTTTGTGTTGCCCTTCACCTTCTGCCCAGGTTTTTTGGAAGATACATATATGATCTTATATGATATGATATATGATTGCAACACAATGACAAATAAAATAATCTTACTTTGTTTCGAATACTTTTCATACATTTGTAGATTTACTGTTACATTTTATTTTCAATTGTACATGTTTAAAAATTATATAACCAGGGCCTTTGTAGTCTAGCTGTGTTCTCATTACAGAGCCTGGAACTCGTTTTACAGAATAAAATGTGTGAATATCTTTTTGTGCACTTATTTAGTTGAAATAAGCCATTTTGAAGCAAATTTGTCTGTTCACTGTTCACTGAATAGGCTCCACATACACCAACCAAAGATTTTTCTAGTATGTTTAAATATTGTCATACCAGTTCTTTCGTAGAAAGGAATTAGTGGTTGTCACATGCAGAAATGAAAGTTTCTGCATGTGACAACCACAAATTCCTTTCTACACCATTTTTTTCAAGTCAAGTAAAATTTGTAAAGGTGGTACATAGTTAAAACATGACAACACAAGCCTGTTCAAGGCTTTTACAGCTGACTTTAAAAAATGACAATATGAAAATGTAACATTTAAGAGAAAACAAAGGCATAAATAAGACAATTAATGTTAGCACAGATCTATATAAAATACATGTATAAAATATTAAACTGTATAAGTGAAATTAAAATACATTTGAATATGCTATAAATTATGGTCTGTTTTTATAAAAAAAAAAAATGAATTTTCATTTTGATCAGTTTATGTCAGTGAGTCCACCTCCATATAGAGGTTTGGCGTTTTGCTCACCATCCCAGAAATTGATCTGTTTATATTTATATAATTATAACATATAAATATTGGAGATATAAAGATACTTCAGACATCATAAGATCCTTCTGGAAAAAAATAAACAAAACGAAAAATTACACTAGTGACATGTACAAACATTTTGGCCGATTGGAACAGCCACAAACTGCAAGACCCTCAGTCCTGGCAGAGACGTATATATTGTAATATGCGTCTCTGGTCCTGGCAACGTTTATTTTGGCTGTTAAGTTAATATTACAAAAAAATGCACATTGCTAATAAATATATTGCGAATATCAGTCACTGGGATAAAGTAGTAGTCGAGTACATGAATCCAGTGACAGATCACGGATCTTCTGTAAACAATAAATAAACATGTACAGGTCCAGTACACTCTGCCGATTGAGCTATATAGCTGTAAAGACCTATGATAGCTCTATTGACCTATCTGAAATAGGTCTTTTGATAACAAATGACATTAAATATAAGTATTCTTTTTAAAAAGATCGGAAATAACATCCAACTGTATGCTGTAGTCACCATAACCACGGAATTAGTTATCTAAGTCCGTGCCATTACCAAAAACCTTATTGTTTTATGCGACTTTGCTTTAATTTAATGAAAATTGAAATATGAGAAAATATAGCTCAAAACAGCTATAATGTATAGGTGTATATAGCTATATAGGTCTTAATAGCTATATATCTCAATCGGCAGAGTGTACTGGACCTGATACAGTCCCCTTGGCCTGTGACAAGGTGATTTGCACTCAATTTCCAACCGCACATTGTCTTTCGGAGTTTATGTTTCATCGTGACAGCTGAAGAAACCATTGAATAAGAAGGAAACGTCACAAAAAAGTACCTTATGGAGTAACTCACCCGCTGGAATAGGTTTAAGCGCCGATTTTATTACGGCCAACCGGCGAAAAATTCTCAACATTAGTGTGTCGAAAGTTGGTCGCTATTCACTGCTTTACTTCCGGGACAATGTCGTAATTGTTTAATCAGGGGAGCCAACTCCGATGGTAATGGAACAAAGATACTCGATTCAAATCAAAGGTATACGTAGCTAATATGTTATCTCTTTTAATGAAAACTAGCACTAAATGTGCAATAAATTAATGAACTTAAAAATATATATGAAAAAACACCCCTTTAAAGACGGAATAAGATAAGATAAGTTTAGATAAGTTAAGATATTAAGTTTATGTCCGGTTCAGGACTCTCAAAAAATACAAAGTATTATTATACAATTTGACTATATGATTGCAGCTCTGTAATTCAAAAAAAGTTCTTGGTTTTTCCATTGGTTGTCTAGTTCATTTTTAAATTTGTTAACATTATTTGCTGAAGTAGGGCCTAATATATTCCATGTTGAAGCCGATCTTACTAAAAGGAGTTTTTCATTAGCATGGTTGAAGAGCGTTTTAGGTATATCGTTTTTGAGTTTACTCGACGGCTGTGCCGTTCAGCGGCGTCTTCCCATAACACTACTGCATTGCAGCATTCCTGGTCGTATACTTCATTAGTACTCCTCTTGCTCTTCTGAAGGCTAATGTTGGTAGCTGGAGTCTGGCCAGTGTCTGGCTGTAGCTGAGGTTACTCATGCTTGGGAGGCAATTGGTTGCTCTTCTTTGTACACTCTCTATCATATCGATGTGCTTATTTTAGGTTTATGGTGCCCACACAGGGCTCGCGTAGTCAAGTTGTGAGCGTACTAGGCATTTGTATAATGGAACAAACGACATCTGATCCATGAATTTGAATGTTCTCCTAAGGAGTGCAAAACACGGAGTTTTCTTTAACCTTTTCACTTTTGTGGTTATCAAAGGATAAATCGGAGTCTGTGATAACCCCGATATCCTTTTCCTGGGTGATTGTCTGTAAGTTTTCCCCGTAGAGATGATAGTTGGTCCGGGGGTTTCCTGTCCCCGGATTGTCTCCTTACTCAATCTCATGTGTTTGCACTTGTCGGGATGCATTTTAAGTAGCCTTGTGTCGCTCCACTTACACATTGTATCTAGATCTTTCTGGAGATCAGCACTATCTTCCCTGGGTTTTTTTTTATTATTTTAAAAATCTTGGGGTCATCTGCAAATAGATACATTTCTGACTGGACCGAGCTTGGAAGATCATTTACAAATATAACGAACAGCAAAGATCCGAGAACAGTTCCTTGGGGGACTCCCGATGTGACATCGGTCCATTCGGAGTCCGCGCCGTTTACTGATACTTTCTGCTTCCGACATTTTAAAAATGTTGTTATCCAAGAAATTATTTGTTCTGAGAAGTTATACGAATGTAATTTGCTTATTAGCCGATTATGCGGAACGATGTCAAAGGTTTTTTGTTATAGTCCATATATAAACAATCGATGCCCTGTCCTTCATCCAGAGCCTCTGTCCATTTATCCAACACTTCTAAAAATTGTAAGGAAGTTGACCTTCCAGATATGAAGCCGTACTGCTTCTGCGAGAAGTAATTGTTATTTCTCATGAACATTGTTATGTGTGCCCTTATGACGGATTCCAAGACTTTGCATACGACCGATGTTAAACCCACAGGCCGGTAGTTTCCTGCTGCCCTTTGTCACCCTTCTTAAAGATATCACAAACCCGGGCTTTTTTCCAGTCACTTGGTAGAGTTCCTGTTGTCAGTGATTGGTTGAAACGTTTCGTCAGTGGGCATATTATTGCTGGACGATGTTTTTAAGAAACATTGAATGGAGTTCATCCAGTACTGGATACTTTTCTGGTTTGAAGGCTTTCAATAGTTATAACCTCTTTTTTTACTGTTAGGACAACAAAAGTCTTTCATGACCCTGCTTCTTCCAACATGTCTTGTAATTTGTTGTTATTATCTGCTGGTCCAGAGTCTGATCTATATAGGAGACCTAATAAGATTTTGGTATTATTGTTGATACTAATACAGTAGCTACAAACAGGGTCTCCTGGACTGATGTGTCCATGTTCACTTCCTCGGTCTTTAGATCTCTATTAACTAAACATATTACCCCCCTGCCCTCCGCGTTTTCGATATTCTTGCTAAACATTTTGTAGTTTGTATCATTTACTCGGATGGTTAATTCTGACATTTTGTTCTTCAGTTGATCAGCGTGTGTGTACATACATTTGTACATGTTAAATTATTATTCGACTTTAGCTTATGGTGACTTTCCCTATTATTATTTAGATTTGTTTTTCTTTTCTACTTGGCCGTCTGTGATCCGTACTTTGGTTACTTTCCTGGCCCATGGTGGGCCCCGGATTTTGTAGGTCAATTCCCCCGATAAAAAAATACTCATCAGTTCGAACTTATGTAGTGAATTTCGGGGGAGAGTTATCTCCCTGAGACCGCTAACCGCGCCGACAACATCGATTTGACATCTCGGCGCGGTCTCTACATCCTGACTTCCAATTCAATACACGTGAGTGATTGTTTTCCTCCTCCTTCTGACATATTTTGGGACGTGAGCGCAGTTCCCTACTACATGTAGTGACGGTGTGTAATAACACACACCAAATTTATTACATTTACCTAACTTTGATCACAGATGCTAGACACACTAATTAGGGCGAAACAACCCATTACCCTAATTATATATGATATGTTTGTAATTATTATACACATTATACAAGTGAGTGTACAACACATGTGCCTTTGAAAGGAAATAGCAGATTAATTTAAACAATAATAGTGAATACACACAGTGGCCAAGGAGATTGGCTCTCTGATCTTTAAAATATTGATTTTATTAAGAAAAAAAATGTGTATAATATGGATCGTGAGCTCTCATAGAGAGAGAAAACAGATCTGCCAATTCATACACTGTGTTACAATAACGCGGATCAGTTAAGAAACTAATTGATAGCCCGCATATAACTGAGGTATACGTAAAAAACGACAATTTAAGTTACAGAATCTGAATGTAACCAAGGAGATAATTTTGTCAGGTATTGGAATAATCTCGATAAAAACAAAAGTAGGGGCATAAAAATATTTAATTTTAAATATTTAAATATTCAACAATAGACGAATGTGGCGTTACTTGGATCATTAACGTATCTGAGATCTATAATTATATAAGAGTTCCTGGTCTCCCATCATTAACGTATCTTAGATCTATAATTATATAGGAGTTCCTGGTCTCCCAATGCTTATCCAGGCTATTTTTAAAAGTTTTACAGTCGGTACTAAAATAATATTTTCCGGAAGATTGTTCCATATTCTTACAATTCGCAAGGCAAAAAAGTTCTTCCGGATATCTACTCTAGAATATTGTGGAAATACATTCCTGGGATGTCCTCTTATTCCCTGTCTTTGTGATGGATCTTTCCATGTCTTAACAGAATCCGCTGCACAATTCTCAAAAATATCGTTTGTTATTTTAAACACCTCAATCATATCCCCTCTTTTTCTTCTGTAGGCTAAGGGTTGGTAATTAGAGTTCCCTCAGTCGATGCGGATATGAGAAATGCCGAAATTCAGGTTTCTGTTTCGTTGCTCTCCTTTGCACTGCCTCAATCATATCGATATGCTTAAATTTGAAGGGATGCCATACAGTGTTTGTATATTCAAGATGAACTCTTACATGTACTAACGTTTTGTATAACAGTGTAAAGTTGCGTTCGTTTAGAAAATGAAGGGATCGTCAAATGACTGCAAACATAGAGTTGCCTTCTTTATTTATTTACTAATTTGATCTTCAAATGTAAGAAATCTGTCTATAATTACTCCTATAGCCTTCCCTTTTATGTTCTTTCTCCACATCATCGGCCTATATGCATAGATATACACTTTAGAGGATGAAATTGCAATTATCATTTGTCGCTCCAGTTTGAAAGTTTATTATCCATGTCGTCCTGTAAGATATCCACTTCGGCCTTTCTACGTATATTTTGAACACTTTTGTATCATTTGCGAAAAGGTAAGATCATTTATATATATATCACAAATAATGTCGGTCCTAGCACTGATCCTTGGGGTACTCCAGATGTTACGTTTGTTCATTTTGAGTTTTCTCCCTTCAACGATACTCGTTGCTGCCTTTCGGAAATAAAACTGGACGTCTAGTTAATGATTTCGTCACTTATTCTATATGAGAACATTTTACTAAGAATCCTTTTATGTGGAACAGAATCAAATGCAATTTGGAAGTCCACTAATATACAGTCAATCGCAACTCCATTATCTAACAGTTCGGTCAATTCATCTAAGACTTCGAGAAGTTTTAAACTAGTGGATCTCCTAGATACAAACCCGTACTGTCTCTTAGATAATAAAGAATTGACCGTGATGTATTTAATAATGTGACTACAAATATACTTAAAATCGTTTCTAATACTTTACCCACGATGGACGTTACACTAACTGGTCTATAATTTCCAGACTTACACTTGCCTCAAAATAGGCGAAAATACTGCAAAATAACAAATAAATTTAGAACTCAGATATNGGAAAAAAAAAAAAAAAAAAAAAAAAAAAAAAAAAAAAATAGCAGCTGATGCAAAACAGAGTCCGAAACTATCTGGAGATATATTCGCTCCAAATATAAAACTTAAAGTGATATCGATGAACTCTACACCGAACCCAGCAATGATCAGTCACGCAAGGCAAATACAGATTAGGAAAACGCAAATACAACGTACACTTGTAACCTTTTTAGAGTGTTTTTTTGTAAATGAATTGTCAAATGAAGGCGCGATTCCGGAGATTATAAGAAGGGAAATATTGGTACATATCTACTTCTACTTCTAAATGGTACTGACCAACTTCAACAATTTGAAGATAAAATGTCAGACGAGGAGTGAAACATGGAAAGAGATTGTTTTTTAAAAAAACCGAGATGGTCTAATTTCCGTTTGAAAAGTGACGGTAGAGGGATGATTTGAATAATTCCGTTGTGGGACTCGAAATAGTGTCAGGTGGGAGGTTATTCCACTCGGGTATAGTTCGAGGGAAGAATGATGCCTTTCTGG